TATCTGTGAGTTTTATTGCTCATGGCTAGCACTCAAACACCTAAACCACAGCTCCATTTCTGGCTTTTTTTGTGGTTATTTGGAGATAAGAGTCTCAGAAACTTTCTTGCCTGACTGGTTTTGAACTTTGACCCTCATATCTCAGCCTCTTGAGTAGCTAGGATTGTAGGAATGTACCACTGGCTCCCTGCTTATTTCTCATTTTTTCCCTTCTCTGTTGTTTGAATTCAATTTCTATTGACCTATCTTAAAATTTATTATCTCTGTTATCTCCATTCTTCTCTTATGCCCATCTTGACACTCTAAATTTTTAAAGTAGTGTGCTTTTCAGTTTTCAAATTTCATTTTGGTCCTTCTTTTATGTTTTATTACTTTGCTGAAATTTATAATCTTTATATTCTCTTAAAACTCATTCATTTATCCTTTTTTGATAGGACATTTTAGTAACAGTTGCTTTAACTTTTTATCATTGAATTCCCACTTCGTTATCGTAGCATTTGTGTCTTCAAATTGCTTTCTCTCCTTAAAATTGAGATGTTTCTTGGATCCTTAGGTGTTAAATAATGTGAAGTCATATCCTGCAGTGGGGCCTTCTCTCTTCTGGAAGAATTCTTATATTCTTTGTGCCAGTACTAGGTTTAAAATTCAAGGTGTTTCAAGCTTTTGTTTGTTTTTTTTTTTTTTTTTTTCTCACAGCTGATGCCTTACCCATTGAGCCAGGCTTCCAGTGTGGCATTTGATGGTTAATTTAGAGTCTCTCTGACTTTTCTGACAGCTGGCTTTGAATCTCTCTACTCAAATCTCAGCCTCCAGAGTAGGTAGGACTGCAGATGTGAGTCACTAGCACTTGGTTACTTATGCTTTTATTTTAGCCTATAATTAACATGGTTAGCTTTAGATCTGTCAGTTAGATGTGCCTTTTAGTTCTAAAGCCAATTCAATTTTCAAAATTTTCAGTGCTATTCAGATCTATTTTCTGTGCTATTCAGATATGTCCCAGAGGTGTTTGATCCAGCAGCTAATTAAAGACCTGGTGAAGACCTGTTTCTTAGTTAAATGATCACAATTTAGGATCAAACACAGTTATATACCTAGGAGTTCATAACAAGTAACAAGTTTTATGTTTTTTTTTTTCTGTGCTTCTGTCTTTCCACAATCTTTTGTAATTCCCTGGAGTTCCCCACTTGATCTGATGGCAAGAAATCTGGGTCTTTATTTACTCTTCTCTGACATATACATCCTGTGAGTTTGCCCTTGTCTATCGGCCAATAGACAGGAGGTCTGAAAGAGGGAGAAAAAAGTATCGTAAGGATTTGCCTCTACAGCCACTCCAACCAGAGAGGAAGGTTCTACCCATTCCTAGTATTTTGAATACCCCAGGGCACTGTTTCCACCATTGTCACTGACTTCATTGTCACACTGGGCTTCCTGAATGGCTAATATATGGAAGAGTGAAGACAAGGAAACACAGTATCTCTTCTACTTCCTTTGAATTTTGGAAGACCTATTTCCTATTGTTCCAGAAGCTCTCTCTATCCATACCAATGCCCCTTTGGGTTGGCCTGAATTCAGTCCAGAGGAGATTGAAAGAAAAAAAAAGGTGAATTCATCACCAGTTCAGTTTTTTTGTTTTTGTTTTTTGTTTTTGTTTTTGTTTTTGGTCGGTCATAGGGCTTGAACTCTGGGCCTCAGCTCTTCAGCTCAAAGCTGAAGCGAGTACTCTACCGCTTGAGCCACAGCGCCACTTCCGGTTTTCAAGTGGTTTATTGGAGATAAGAGTCTCATGGACTTTCCTGCACGGGCTGGCTTTGAACCATGATCCTCAGATCTCAACCTCTTGAGTAGCTAGGATTACAGGCGTGGGCCACCGGTGCCTGGCACCAGTTCAGTTTTACTTCAAATTCTAGTGTTGTTTATAAATTTATCGGGCATAATTTACTCTGTGTATTCTGTTCAGTTTTATTTATTTTTTCTGAGCTTGGATACTATGTTGTTCAGTCTGGAACACTCAGACTCAACTGATTCTCCTATCTCAACCTCCTGAATAGCTGGAACTTCAGGTGTGCACCACTGTATCTGGAAAGAACAGGGTGAGTGTGATTATTCTTCATTAACTGGAATCAGAACCTATATGGGCTGCAAGTTAGTTTGCATATTATAAATATTTATAAATAATGTAGTGTTTTTTTGGGTTTATATTTGTGGATAGACAAGTGAACATTTTTATGGTCTATCTGAGGCAAGGACTTTTTTATTGTGAAAAAACTGTACAGAGGGGTTACAATTACATGGGCAAGATAATGAGTACATTTCTTATCAGGCATTGTAGCCTCCTCCTTTGTTTCCCCTTCCCATCACTTCCCATCCTCCCTTCCCCCCCCACCAAAGTTGTAAAGTTCGTTTTTCCACATAAGGACTTGTACAGCTCATTGTTGCAATGGATCCACCTGTATCCCTATTTAAATGATTTGTTTTTTCCCTTCCCCTCCACAAATTATACCAACCTCAAATACAGTGAAAGCAGGGGTTATACCATGGGGGAGGGACATACAAAGCAACAAAGAAATAATCTTATAAATGTGTTAGAAACAATCACCTGAAAGAAAAAAAAACATTTGAATACATATCTTAGGGTTCATTCAGATGCCCCTCAGTAGATGAATGGATCAAGAAAATGTGGTATATATACACAATGGAATTCTATGCTTCCATGAGAAAGAGTGACATTGCCCCATTTGTTAGGAAATGGAAAGACTTGGAAAAAATTCTATTAAGTGAAGTAAGCCAGGCCCAAAGAAACTTAGGTCCCATGGTTTCCCTTATTTGCAATAACTAGTATATATCTGAGTCAAGCAGAGGCAATTACTTTATTCAGTAATAGTGTTCTGGTAATTTATTATCATGGAAGTAATCATTTTCAGACTTAGTACCATAACTGAAAACATCATCGTTTTATTATCTCAAGGGTTCAGGCATTGACAAAGATCATCTAGGCATTAGGGTCTCCCATATAATACAATAAGATGATGACTAAGTATGAAACTATTTGAAGGGTAACTCTTGTGCGTGTTTGCTACTAGTTTGGGACCACGCAAAAAGTTAGGGCTCCTATGATGTCTGTCTCTACCACAAAAGGGTCTCCCTAAATGGTGTTTTTTTTAACCATGTGACAGCTTTAAATAACCAAATTTCTTTTTGAAAAAAGTAAGAAAGATAAAAAAAGAAAACCCTCAAGGTGCCAATGTCAGTGGAGATAAAGTGGAAAAAAAAAAAAAAAAGAAACCAAGCAGAACCTAACAGGGCATAGCGCTCCATGCTAGGACTGTAATCCCAGCTATGTGGGAGGTGGAAATGGAAGGGTCATAATCCATGGGCCACCTTTGCAAAAGGGAGACACTATTTGAAAAATAAAGCATAAAAGAGCTGGGGGAATGTGCCTCAAGTGGTAGAGTACCTGGTAATGCCCCAAGTTGAAACCCAAGTAACAGCCAAAAAAATCTCCAAGACTTATAGGAATTACATATGGATTGCATTTTCTGCCATACTCTTGCAAGTTATATTCTCTATGGCCACATTGGCTTCTTTAAGACAATAAGATCCATCAGGTTGAAGGGAAGGGGACATAGTGTCTACCTCTGGATGGCGGTTGGCAGAATTCTAGTAGGAGGTCATAATATTATCTTCAATATGACCAGCTTTCAGCAAATGTGGGTTTTAGTGTTTCCTGAAATTGGATCAAGTTTTCTCATTATTGTATAACTTTCTCTAGGACTCTCCAGGTTTTTAGTATTTGCCATGTCATTATGGGACCCAAAGGTATGTGGATTCCTTTTGCAGGGGTGGGTGACAGGCCGGAGGTGTAGGCAAAGACACTAACTAAAGTCTAGATTAGGAAATTTCTGTTGTAAAGAAGTCACTAGTGGTCACCCAGAAAGAAATCAGGAAGGTGGGTGCTCTGAATAGCTTTCCTACCTTCTTCTATATGGACTCTTAGGAGATAAAACTTAAGATTGTTGATGGAATTTCAGAATGATTCAGTAAACACGAGCTCACCAGGAATTTGGTGATTAGACTGAGCTCTCTTTTCTTCACGTGGACCAGAGGAACGAGGTCAATGGAAAAGTTCTATTTCCTAAGTATGTGTTCCAAGAACGTTTACCCTCCAGTTCACTTCATAATTCTGTTCCAAGTTAAGCTTGTTCCTAAGATTGAACTAAAGACTCTGTGAGCATCAAAGTATGCTCAGGGCAATCCCTCACTCCACTGACCCTGCCTTAGGACAGACCATTTGCTGCATCTCCTTCAATAGCAAGTGTTTCATTTCCTCTAGTTTAAACCGCTTCCTCAAGAGGGTGAGTTCCATTCAGAATAAGAAGTGAGTCTATTCCCTGTGCAATGAAAAAGCTATTTCACCTCCATTTCTCGAATAGAGGTTTGAATGAATGCTAGCAGATTTTAGGGAGTTCTGAGAGATGGAGGGCTAGCAAACAAGTGAAGAAAGAGAATGGTAGGGGTAAGGTATTTTCCTGGCTCCTCAGTTCCTTCGGAGACCCCATTTCACTGGGTCCAGCATGGACAGTAAGTGTCGCGACATCAAACTCTTCTACGCGGTGGCGCCAGAGACTCCAGCCCCGACAGCGAGTGACTCCCAGCTGATGCTCCTACCAGGAGCAGGCGACCTCTGCTGTCCCATTTAGGCAGCAGCGTTGTGGCTTACTGCCTGGGAAGTGGCTCAGCGACCCCAGAGAGCCTGACCAGGTAGAGCCAGACCGGATGAGAAGCACAACAAGGCCAGGGGCATCCGATCCGATCCGTAGGTTCCGGTTGGCCCCGCCCCAGCGACGGAGTGTGCGGGTGCGGCTCGGCGTGGGGGGAGGGAGGCAAGGCCGAACAGGTGCGCGGGCGGGGGGCGGTGCTTGGGGATCCTGCGCACTGCGCGTGCCCCTCCCCCGCGCGCCTCTTGGCGCGGCCCTGCCCGGCGTGAGCAGGAGGAGGAGCTGCGGCGGCCGCAGCCACTCAAGGAGGTCGGTGCCGCCGTGTGGACCCGCCGAAGGCGCGGGCTGCTGGTCCCGCGTGGAGAAGGTGCGGCGGTCCTGGGGCTATGGAGCCTGGTGACGCGGCGCGCCTGGGCCCCGGTTGGGCTGTCCGAGTGCTACCACCAAAGCTGCTACTGCTGTCGCTGCTGCTGCCGCTGCTGCTGGGCCGGGGGCTGCGTGCAGGGGCTGGGGCCTCTTCCTCTGGGGCGGTGGCGGAGGACAGCAGCGCCATGGAGGAGCTTGCCACTGAGAAGGAGGCTGAGGAGAGCCACCGGCAAGACAGCGTGAGCCTGCTCACCTTCATCCTGCTGCTCACCCTCACCATCCTCACCATCTGGCTCTTCAAACACCGCCGGGTGCGCTTTCTGCACGAGACCGGACTGGCCATGATCTATGGTGCGTACCCCCAATAGTATCCCCCACCCCCACATCCCTCAGGCGGCGGGGCCTGTGCGCCCCTCCTCTCGCTGCTCCCCTCCCGGTGCGATGCCATGCACCCCCCTTCACTTGCCGACGTGTTTCTTTTGCATTTCCCGCTGCCACCGGGTGGGTTCCCAAGGTCACCTGGCTTCATTTTCTAGTCTTCTACGATCGTGTAAAAGCAATCTACCACCAGGAACCCAGGAAGATAAGACACAGAGGTGGCCCGGTTCCTTCCGCCCTGTTAGGTCTCTCTCCATCAGCATCTCTCTCTCCGTCATCCCTCCCCCCCCCCACCTCCGCTCCTGCCCGCCCCAGTTCAGCTGTGCAGAGTGTATGTGCAGAGGCTGGATGGTTCCCCCAGGGACCGCACTACCCCTAGGGGACAGGCCACAGTAGGGGGGAGGGGGGGGGAGAATGAACTCTGAAGATGTCTTGGTTAGGTTATGCCTTGGCCTCTTGCCACCCATAATCAGCCCAGGTGGGTGTCCACTTCTGAGGTCTCTGTGACAGGTCTCTTGTGAATTAAGTCAGCATGAAAAGGTGTGAAAGGCCATCATGGTCAGGGATCCAAAGTGCTGACACCACTCATCAGGCCTAGACAGGGAAACAGATACACTTGCCTCCTGCTCCTAAGTCCCAGTGGGAAGTTCTATCCAGTTACTTGCTTTCCCCGGGGCAAGAAGAGGTTTTGTATTTCTAAAATGATAATAGAGAAACTTTGAACATATATTTCTGCTATGTGAAAAGCATGAGTAGTGCATTTAATTCTGGAGCCAGACTTCTTTTGTTTTTAAAGAGGGACTGATGCCACCATCCTTTTCTGGATTACATGGTACACAGTGTGTAACATGGATGGTGGTCAGTGCCAATCTCCTGTTACAACATGAATAATAACAGCCATAATCTGAGTCATCTCTCTCCTCCTCTGCTCCTCCTCTCACTCCCCCCACTCCCATACCTCTAAACTGGGGCCAAGTATTCTTGTGAGTTTAATTCAGTGGCATGAAAGCCCACATTGGCATTCTCCAGTGAAACACTTAAGCCACTTCACAACTGCTCCCCAAGAGGGCACATTTTACTCCATAACTTCTGCTGGAAGGATCTCTCCACTCAGTTTCCATCCAGGGCTTCCTGATAGAGAATGGAAAGCAGACACTTTAATCTTTAATGTGAAAATGACTCTTGGTCCTAGGCTTCTTGGGCAATTGTTGATAGCTGGGGTTGAGGGCCATTAGGCACTTTCAGGCAAATTGAGCAGGAATACCCCAGTTTTGAAGTAATGGTGTAAACATCTTGATTTGAAATGATCAGCTCTAAAATGGAGTTGGCTATTGTAAATCATAGGTCTCAGCATAGACCTTGGCCTCCATACCTGGCTGTTGGTGAGCTCTGTGATTTGTGTTAGTTGGTGACAAATGACTGATTGCCCCAGCAGATAAGTAAACTTGGGGGGTTTCTGAGTGGATACTGAATTTGGAATTGAAGCATGTTGTTACTTCAGGCTGACTCAGAATCATTTAAATGAAGATTGCCTTTGCATATATATACATAGTACTGAAAATATTTCATTTTGTAGGTTCTGGATCCAACTCCTTAAAGTTCAGTATGAAATAGGAGGTCAACTTGATATGATCATAAATGTGTGGAAAGTAAATAGGGATTTAATTTAAATTATTATTATTTTTGTCTGAGGAGTACTCCATATTCTTAGGAATTCAAGTCACCTTTATCTTAAGGCTTATAAACAACATTGAAATTTCCTTTGCTAATACAGGTTTTAAAATTTCACCTCAACCCTTTAGCCATTGGGGCCATAATCCAATGTATGATTTTACTTTGTGGACAATCATGTTATTATTTATGTATCTTACTGAATTGGTGATTAATCAGAAGAGACAATCCCATCTCCTAATTTTCCTGTGTAATTTTGTTCTATATCTTTGGGTCTTGTTGTTACTTTTAAATGTATGAAGAAATGTAGGTTGTGAATATTGGATGTCCTGAGTTATGCCAAATATTAATATTTTGATGTAGATTGTTAGTAATGATGAGAAAATATTTCTCTTTTTCTCTCTGGGAGATATGGTTTTCTGTTTCATCTGAATTATAATGTCATTTGATTACTTATTATATACTGAAGATTATTGAGATGGGATTCTGATTAAAATTTCAACTTAATAATCTTTTATGAGCCAGTGGCTCATGTCTTAATCTTAGTTATTTAGGAGGCTGAGATCTGAGGATTGGAGTTTGAAGTTACCCCAGGAAGAAAAGTTCATGAGACTGTTATCTCCAATTAATCACCAAAAAACCAGAAATGGAGCTGTGGCTCAAGTGGTAGAGCACTAGCCTTGAGCAAAAAAGCCCTGAGTTCAAGCCCCAGGACCAGCACACACAATAAAATTGTATTGCTAGGCACTGGTAGCTCACTCTATAATCCTACCTACTCAGGAGCCGGAGATCCAAAGATCATAGTTCAAAGCTAGCCTCTGCAGGAAAGTCCATAAGACTTGTATCTCCATTTAGCTAGCAAAAAGTGACACAAGTGTGGAGTGCCAGCCTTGAACAAAAAAAGGCTAAGGGATAGCACCCAGGCCCTGAGTTCAAGCCCAGTATCAGCACAAAATAATTTTCTCTAAGGTATACAACATGATGTTTTGATGCAAATAGTGTAATGATTCCACAGTGTGACAAATCTTTGCACATTTCATTGAATGTAATACTGCTATTTTCTCTTCAGTAGTAAGAAATCAGATTTTGTCTTAATATCAGTAGGGGAAGTGAGTAAATGTCCTCATGGCTCTGAGTAATGAAGGACAGAAAAAGCAAAAAATCTGCTTTGGGTAGTCTGCTTTGTGTTTGCTGTGTGCCAGCTATGTGCCTCCCTTTCTGGAGGCAAACCGTGTAACTTAAATGTTACTAATTTTTATGAGTGAGATCCCAAAGCTTTGTTTTGCAAAGTCATTTAAAGTTTTCTTTCTACCACTTTTCATTGAAAGGAGTATCGTTTTTCTTTTCTTTTTGGCGGTACTGGGGCTTGAATCCAGGGCATCAAATTTGCCCAGCTTGCTCACTGGGTTAGCATTCTCCTACTTGACCACTTCCGAAACTTTGCTCATTAATTGAAGATAAGAATCTCATGGACTTTTCTTCCTGGGCTGGCTTCAAAATTCAATCCTTAGTCTAATCCTTCTGAGTAGCTAAGATTACAGGTTTGAGCCACCAGTGCCTGACCACGAGTAACTTTAATATTAAAATATTTTAGCTATTGTAACCATAAAATTGCTCTGAAAGGACAAGCAATATACCAGGAGCATCACTTCTTTTTTGGGGGGGAGGGGTCCAGTCGTGGGGCCTGAACTCTGGGCCTGGGCGCTGTCCCTCAGCTCTTCAGCTCAAGGCTAGCACTCTACCACTTGAGCCACAGCGCCACTTCCGGCTTTTTTCTTTTTGCTTATGCGGTGCTGAGGAATCGAACCCAGGGCCTCATGTATGCAAGGCAAGTGCTCTACCACTGAGCCACCTTCCCAGCCCCGAGCATCATTTCTTTATGGGAAAGAAACTAGGGGGCCATCAGCTAGGAGTGGGAGAGCAATGCCACCTCTTTGTGCTATTTGAGTTTTTGAACTGTGGAAGTGGAATCACTTAAGTGGATGTCTGTGCCTCCTTACTGTGTCACTCATGAGGGCATTTTAAAGTATCCCTCAAGTCACTCAAGACAACCCCCATGTCTCCCTATTTAAATCATATTTTGTTCCCAATTTTTGGTTACCTTTCCAGTTGTTGACTGTACTCATGGAACTTCAGAAGCCCTGTACCTGAGACAGACATAAAACAGGGAAAGGGGTAAAAGCTTTTCTTCTTTTCCTTCCCTCTTTAATGCCATTGTTCCCAGGGAAGAGTTGATTGCATTTAGAATTAGGAGTGTTGCATACTAATAGATCCTATGGTATGTCCTTGCTTGGGTGCAAAGAACCTAAGGATATTAAGAAAGAAATGGTGAATGTTTAACATTTAAATGGAAAGAAACCCCCCAAATCACTAAGGCACTCCTCCCTGACATGTGGCCCAGGCAGCTATAAGAGAAGGTGGCCAAAGACCTTATCCTCCAGGGAGGTTAAAAGCAGCCCCCAGACCCTGCTATGACAGCTGCAAGCACCATTCTGACCTGTTTTATCAGGCTGGCTCTGTTTGTGGTGAAGTGCCATCCTCATGTTACTGGGCTGTGCATGTCTGTACAGCAGAAATAGCAAATGTTTGAGGAAGGGAAAGGCAGCATAAACAGAGTGTGCCAGCTAATTGTGGTTCTTTCTTGTTTGTATAGTAGTTCTACTTCCCCATAGTGTTTTTGTGCCAACTGACATAGATCCAAAATATCTTACTGTGCTATGCTAGCCCACTACCTGCCTCACATTTCTCCCTGTTCCTCACCTACAGCTCTCTGATGACTTGTTGGCCAACCCCGTAATTCTATGAATCATCCGTGGCTCATTGCTGGTCTATTGATGGATTAGGGTTGGATTGCTAAACACAGCCTGAGAGTGGGCTTATAGTCAATATCTGAAAGAGGAAAGTGAGAGTCTTTTTAGTCATGTGAAGTTAATGTACAAACCTGTGTGTTAGTGAAATTTTTTCATTGCTGTGACCAAATACTTGAGAGAAACAGCTTGAGGAAAGGTTTATATTCTTTGACACTTTCAGTCCATCTTGCAGGGAGGGTGATATGGAACAGAGAAGCTCACATCATGGCTTCTAGGAAGCAGAAAGTGAGAAGAGGAGAGAGGGAATGTCTGTGCATGGGATCTTCTTCCTCTTTATTTCATCAGGGTCCCAGCCAAAGGGATGGTGTGACCCACATTCAGGACAGGTCTTCTCCCTCCAGTTATTTCACTCTCGAAACACTCTCCTAGTAGTTTGTTTTATTACCTCCTAGGTGCTTCTCAATCCAACAAAGTTGACAACCAAGAGTAACC